ACCCCTCCACTCCTTCCTTATTTTCGATTTTTATACCGCCGGCGGTGACGAATTCAGAAAAAAGACCTATTTTCTTGGCTTTTTGCCATGTTTCCTCTTCTTGCTTCCACTTCCCCCAGCTCTGCCCTTTGGGGCATGCTCAAGGGTTTGGAGCTCTAAAGATTTTGACTTCTCATATTGTCGTCTAAATGCCTTTGCCTGTGCATTAGTCCTAAGCTGCAATTCTGCCAAAATGGCGAGTCCTTCATTGATATACACCCGGGCAGTCTTGGAGGACTGCCATCTACCAGCTATAAGTAACCTATCTAAGGAGGCGTGCTTGGCGAAATAGGAGGTTGCGCCTCCCCTTCTCAAGCTGTATGGACGGAAAAGGTGGTCGTCCAAACCAGTGGCTGACAAAACCTCTCCAAATTTCTTTCTCCAAACATGGGGTGCCTCACACAGATTGGTACGGCTGCTGGGTGTTTGTCGCCACTGCCAGAGTCTTCTAAGTGTGTCCTCTTCTCGAATAGTGACGCTTTCTGCTGCACCCTGCCGCCTACTGCCTTTTGTAATTCCCAAAGACAAAATGGCTACACTTCGTGGGCCGGCTTGTTCGATGTGTTGCTTTTTCACTCCCAAAAGTTCTCCTGTTCGGAGCAGTCCATGGAATCCCAACAAAAGTGAGAGGGCGAAAAGCGGGTCATCTCGAAACAAACTGTACCCTACCAAAATGTCTAGTGCTTCTTGCGGCAGTGGTGGTGCCCGGTTGGGCAACTCAGTAGTTGACCAGGTCTTCATCAGCCTCCAGGAGGATGAAAGCCTCCCCTTGACGGCTGGTCGGAAATCTTGAATCGATGCGATGGTGTCTGCTGCCAAAGCCCTTCCTTCTCCACTCTCCCACAAGACTTCAATATAATGGCTGAGCCAGAAATCAAGAACTTGAGGATCGTCTGGAAAGCGCCTACCTTCACCACGTAAATAGTCTCTGAACTTCTCGAGGGCCTTGTCATAGCGGGCTCTCGTAGCTGGTTGCACGGTGAGATTGCGGAGTGGTCCCAAAGCTCTTCTCTGCTCCTGTCGCGTTGCTCTATCTCTGCCTTCGAGATGCGTTGCTCTATTTTTCACCATTTCTTGCGTACTGGCCGCCTCGAGGGGCGGTCCGCGGGGTTGTCCTTTGTATGGACATACGCCCATACGCAATGAGATCCCGAAGCCAGCAATAGAGCATTCACGCGACTCAACGTTCGTCGAAGCTTCCGGCTGCTGCTCCTCCCCGTGACAGGGAGTGTAAGCACACCAAACTATCGACTAAGTGCACAAATTTGGATTGAACAGCTCGACGCTTGACCACTCGCCATCTCAGCGATGTGAGCGCCGCCCGCATCTCGAGCACATTTATGTGCTCACTTGCATCATTCCACCTCCATCCCATCACCGTCTTCCAAGACCACAAGGTAGAAGGAAGGCTGGCCCGTAGTCGATGGTACCGTAGCGTCTCTTCGGTGGGGGCTTGGACCATAATGTCTTCGCCTTTCAAGCTCACCATGTTTAGGAGTTTGGCCACCAGGTCGTACTCCCCTTCCGTTCCCTCCTTCTTCACCTTTCTCATGCTAGGCTTCTGCAAGACTCCTCCCAACGTCTTATGTCCCCCTGGCTTGGTGGCATCGACTGCTTCTTGTGGAGTTTTGGCGGGGCATAGTCCAAGAAGTGCTCCGAGTTGAGCCAACAACCATGCCACTACGGTCACGTTCCAGCTGTTGCCGATGAGTGTCTTGCGAGTGTCCTCATGGGCCTCACTCCCGTGGGCCTGCTTTGGCATGCACTGGAGCGTGTACCCCCTTGGGAACCCCATGATGACTTCTCTTTCCTCTGTTGTGGGAACACGACATTGGCCATCCTGCTGCTGTACCAGTAGTCGACGAGAATATTGATATGGGGGAAAGCGGAATTTGTCTTGAGCCCAAGCCTGTTTCTCTTCCTCGGTCAACTTTTCAATGCCCGCAGGACGACGTCCTGGAAACTCCCTGGGCCTCGCGGTCGTGAACGTAGGGAAAGGCTCCTCGCTGACTTTCTGGCATCCTGGGCCTAAGTAGTTTCTAGGCTCTAGCACAGCACTCAACTCCACCTGCCTGAATCCCCCTGGGCCTTCACCCTGCCATCTATGAATCCTCACAGCGTCCGACGAAGTCAGCTCCCAGTCGCACCAGTACAAGCGAGGCCTTCTAGCCAACGAAACGCCCTTTGCATCGATCAGGTTTGCGGGGTCACCAAAATCCTGTGACATCACCTCCCTATCTGAATGATCCATGGAGCTCACGCTCTCTGCAAGGTAGCGTACTTGCGCCCAAGGGAAATGACGCTTCAGCAGATCTCTAATCCTACGGACATGAATGAAGAGCCCACTCCGGTGATCTTTTAGGGCCCCCCGTCGATCTGCGTTGAGTCCACTGACCCCCTGACACGGGGAGCCAGCGCCCAAGATCACTAGGGACACTTGGGAATACCGGCAGGCCCAGGTCCTGACCATCTCCTCATCCACTGCCTCTACACCTTCCGGGACGATCAGGCTAGCTGGGAACTTGCTTTCAAGTACTCGGCTTGCCTCTTTGTTAACCTCCACGCTGATGTGCCCAATCACAGGCAACTGACACGCATCTGCTGCCACCCGTAGTGCGCCAATGCCATCGAAGAGGCCGACGGTCAAAACCCCGCAGAGGTCCGATGGTTCTGCCAAATCTCCCCTCACCCAGGAGAAAGCCGCGGCTTGATACCTGTGCTCCTAGTCAAACCTCCTCCTGTGGTAGAAGCATCACTAGCTGTCACCTCCTTGGAGATCTCCAGGCGGAAGTCCATGCAGGCTAGGGGGACCAATCCAATGAAACGGGAAACCTCCAACTTCACCTCAGGGGGGATCTCCAGCTTGATGACTGGGGGGTAGCCCTTGAAGCTTTCGATGAACCGCCAGATCGCGTTCAGAGATCCTAATAGAGGCCTGCGAAACATGCTCATGTAAACAAGGCCTCCTGCTACCACTTGGGCTTGCTTTTGCGAGCATCTCTTCTCCCCCACTAGGAGACTTGCCAGCTGGACGTACTTCAGGACCTTGCAAGGTTTGGGATAAGCAATGCCTCTCTCACCATCAATGATAGCTCCCTGTACCTCTGCCTTCACAGACCTAGCCACTGCCTTCTTTGGGTGCCGGGGAACTCCCCACCGCTCATACTCATTCCGCAGGGCCAGAACCCCCGGTCCTGGCTCCCCTTGAAGGAGCCTCGCCGTACGGGCATCCATCTTCTCCAGGCAATCAAAGTTGTCCAAGTAGATCCGATGAAGTTCACGAGAGGTGGTGAACGGGCGATCTTTGCGAATCTCTTGCTCTGGCCTGAGAACCTCCTTGCTAGCCTCGCCTGCCCTTCGCACCATTGCACGGTGAACGTGTTGTGCTAGGCTCACACTGTTCTTAAACCCCATAGGAAGCACTTGGGAGGCAAGATAGTATGGCCCATCCTCATCCGGCCACATCTCCCGCGGTGTTGGACGATTAAAGGCAAGGAACTTAGACCATTCCAATGGCACCTGGAAAATGTAAAAGAAACACCGCGCATCTTCGGATGATATCACGAGGCTTTCATGCGGCATGAGTTGCATCGGCCCCATGGTCGCCCAACTCGGGAGCGTTGAGACGTCCCCCTCCATTCCTCGACACACTAAGTTGCAGGGCCGAAGGTCCATGATTAAGCGGTGAATGGGGATGCCGCCCTGGTCCTCCCCTTTGGGGACTCCAAAGAGTCCGTTTAGGAGGGGTGCATTATCAATGTGAAAAAGGCTCTTCTCTTTCAACAAAATGCAGACCTTTCGATCGACCAGCCCCCGACACACTCCGGGCCAAGCCTCGTCGCTGATCATCACGCGGGGAGCTTTCATGGATTGCTGCAACTCCTCAGGCAACAGATACTGGGTGAAGTTTTCAACGTAATGTCTGCAACCCAAATCACACACGCTGCCTAAAGGGATCGAGGCGATTTCTGTAGGCATGGCGGGGTCAAGGTTCTCCCAACTGGTGTACTGGGCACAGAGAACTTCATCCCCACTATAGTCGACGGTCTTCAACTGGAAGAAACTGTGCCAGTCAGTTGAAACAAAACGCTCTTCCCACCGCTGGACCTCCTCAGCCTGACCCTTCAAAAACTTCAGCACGTTGAGTTGCAGGCGAATAGGGGGGAAACCGTTCTCCAGAGGACTACCATAAAGCGAGTTCAGTGCCATACACAAACTTCGAACGGCAGCTGCAACTACAGGTGTGGCTCCAAGTGCCTCCTCAAGGACCCCCATATCGGTGGGTAACGGAAAAAGGTCACCCGTGGGCTGGGTCATGCACTGCATCGACAAGCCTAAGTCAAAGGAAGATCTAGCCAACATGGAGGCCACCCCAGGAAACACTGCGGCCAAACTCTCTCCCACTCCCGGCGGTTTCAAGCATGCACTTTTGCTCGATGACCCTCTGTCCGAGGTTTCGTCACCTGCGAAATCGGCCAGGGCTACTTCATTCAAACAGCGCCTCTTGGCCTCTGTACCCAATGCACCGTCATCGACGTGACGTCCCAGTGCACTGTCACCTGGAAAATGGGCAGGCTCCTCTTCAAACGGCCTGCATCCCTTATAGCTCTCCTTCTCCTCTATATCTGGGCTCCTCACTCCTGCTTCTTCCCTTGGTCTTTCTCTTTTCCTTTCTTTTCTTTGCCTTTCACTTCTTTTCCCTTTCCCTTGTCGGTGTGCCAGGACGAATCGCGCCACGAAGTGCCCCAGCCTTCTCCTTTGCGCTTGCCTTTGCTGGCGTCGGCACGTGTTCTGCTTTCTTCTTTGTTCTCTTTGATAGCTTCTCGAGCTTCGGCGCGACTGCTGATGACAGGCTTTTCTGCAGGAATCAGCTCGACCCGCTGCGCGATTGACCATGCGGCCCCTTGTGAAGCCATCTCCAGGCTTTTTAGCCTCTGCGTGAGCCCATCTGCTGCTTCGGCAACTCTCGCTTGGATGAGCAGATCCAAGCACCAGCTCAGAGTGAGAGCTTCCCGTGCTTGGCCACCTGATACCCTCGAGCTCAGAACCTGCCTGAAGTACTGACAGCAAATTGGCTGCAAGGGGCCTTCCGTCTGATCCCAAATGCCGCCTGTTGAACTCAGGAGGTTCGTGGCCATCTCCTTGCACCCCGCTGAAGTCAGGGCACCCGGGGCCACCCTCCCCACCTTTCTCACCTTTTGGGTCTCCTCGAAGAGTTCGTCGCTCTCCTCGTCGCTCCCCTCGGAGCTGCTCCCGCTTGATGACGAATTCGATGAGCTCTTCTTCTTTTTCTTCAGCCGCCTTGCAGCCCGTGCAGCCACCTTCTTCCTGACCTTCGGGTCGGGATCCATTCCCGTTCCCCCATACACTGACTTTGGGGTCTTCTTGGCCAGGTTCTTGATGGAAAGGTGCTTCTTGGCCTTTTCCTTCGATGACTTGCCCTCTCCTGACGACCTGCTCCTCTTCTCGGCTGACCTTTCCCTCTTCTTCTTTTTCTTCTTCTTCTCGACTTCGCGGCTGCGGCCCCGGCTTCTCTCTTTCCCCTTGCCTTCTTTCTCCCTCCCCTCTCCCAAAGGAGGTTCTGCTGCTGCCTTTGCTTCTGCTGGGTCCCCGGCCTCGGTGAGGTTCGTCATCCAAGCCAAATCTTCTCCCTTTCGAACGCGCATCTCCTCCCCATGTAGGAGGTTCTCTGAGTCGATCATGTCGGTGCAGCGGCAACCGCACAGATGTACTCTCATGACCCGTTCGGCAGCACCGCTCGCCCAGCGCAAGATCGTTTCGGTATTTGTGCCCTGCAGGTCGATTTCCACCTCTATGTCTTCTTTGGAGCGGACTTGGACTCCTCGCACCAACCCTGAGATCTCTCCTGGAGCGCTCCAATAACGGCCTCTGACATGAACCGCTAACCTTTTTCGAAGGGAGTCGATGGGGACCTCTTGACATGGTGTTGCCACTCCCTCTTCGAAATTCCTCCCGGCCTCGAGATGCCGACCTTCGGCTGGAGCCTCTCCTTCTCGTGCCGGTCGCCTCAACCTCACTCCTCCCCTTCTCATAGGAGGTTCTTCGTTCCGACCGCGGCCTCTTGGTTCTGCCGCTGCAGGCCTCCTCTTTGGAGCCATTTCTTCTTTTCTCCTGGACTACCTCCGACCTCCCTGGCCGAAGTAGTACTGCCTCTCTTTCTTCCCCCTGCCCTTGTTGGTGCCCCAGAAGGCAGCGTCTCTCTGCCACGATCTGATGGGCCCTGACCAGCTTTGCCCGGTAGGCCTCGACTTTGGCGATGGCGGTCCTGTCCTCCTTGGTGGGCTCCTTGACGGGGTTCTTGGTGGCCTGACTGATGGTTTTGCTTTCTTCTCCTTTCCTCGACTCTCCTCTCGTTTCTCCCTCGGCTTCTCCTCTCTTGCACCCTTGCTTTTGCTCCTTTTGCGTCGGCGTCGTGACCGGCTCTTTGACTTCTTCCTGCGACTCTTGCTTGAAGCCCTTCGTCGACCTGCGCTCCTCCGTCGCTCTGCTCCACCTCGGGCTGAACTGGAGTATTTCCCTTCCTCACCAGGCGAGTCCTCGATGTCCTTGACACCTGCTGACTTTCCTGCCGGACTCTGATGCTTCTCTTCCTCTCTCTTGACCAAGGGGCTCTTCTCTTTCTCGACCTCCTTGCTCCCCTTAGTAGGAGCTTCTGTCCTCGGACCTGGACTCAAAGCGCGGGACTTGGGCGCGGCAGTAGCCTCACCTTCCAGCCTCTGGGCTAGCACGGTCCTGTACTTGTCCAGCTCTTCGTGGATGATCCCACTCCAGATCCTTAAGTTGGTGACCCCCCAACCTCGGAGCTCAGGTGGGAGATCGTCAAGGGTCACCCAGAAGTGGTCTCTAACGCGGCAGAAGGTGCACTTGTTGTCCAGGTCCGTAGTCGAAGCCCCGCACAGCGTGCAGGACATTCAGCTGTGAGCCCAAATCCTATGGAAAAAACTCGTACGCCACCCGTTTCGTCTTTAAGTCCGTGGGCGTTTCCCCATACAAGAAATCTTAGTTCCACGATGTTGCCAACACAGCCGATGATAGTTTCCTGCGCTTCACTTCCCAGACTGCCCCCGTCCTCGCTGAAAGATTCAAAAGACACTTTGATGATCTCCTGCAAGCCATGCACTTATGTTTTAATGTATATTAAATAGTATATATAATATATGGGTTCGGTGCCCATATATCCGATTGGATCAGCGTCGCAGCCACGCCTCCTCCTGCGGTGTCAGCTTGTGACGGAAGAGGCGGGTACCTGTCGGATGGCCCGCCGGCCCGGCATAGTACCTCAAGGGGCACAGCAACAGCCGCAACATATTTGCAGACTATACTATACCTTTCATTTTCGGTGTTATTGCACTGATTGGAATTTTGAAGACAGCTTTGAACAACCAAAACACGCTGCAACCAAGTAGCGACATACTTTTGCAAGGACAGTCCCAAAGCTGTCTTGAGCCGTCCTGGTGCTATTGCTTTGAGCCAAACAGCAGCAATAGCCCTGAGAAAATGGGCGAGACAACAAGTTGATCGTGGCCTGGCGTGCCGTCGGAAAAGTTTCTACGGAGTGAGCCAGCTGAGCTACCGCACTTCTCGTGGCGGAATTGACCACGAGCAAAATCAGCCACAAACCTGCCAAGCGGTGAAGCCACAGCAGCAGCAGCAGCAAAGGCAAAGTTCTGAGGCCTCGTGGAGTTGTGTTCATGTTGTTGCCAGCATCTCGGGCAGATTCCAGGGAGATCGCCCTGAGGGATCGAGATCTCAATCATGACTCTTGCTCTGCACACTGGGTGACTGCGCTCCTCTAGCAGCGACGTTCCCGTCGCGCCTGATCCAAATTGATCCAAACTTCTAAGCAGCTTGAGACTGAATGCCATGTGTCTTCACTGACGCCACTCGCCTCGCACTGACGCCACTCTCCATCACTCGAGGGTCTCGGGCATCCATCCGGCACCAATCGACCTCATCAGCACCAATTGAGCCGGCGATATAATGATGTTGGTTTTTGAGGGCGTGTCAACAACGCCCTCTCTAGCGCCATGAAGGCCCGAGTCTATATCTTTTAAATGCTGATGTGCAAGAGCCAAGCATGGAAAAAGACTCTCCCAGCTGAGTTGAGAGCCACGGCTCTACTCTGGCAAAGAATGCTTGAAGAATTTGGTCTCGACCAAACGTTTTCAACAGATTCCTTTCTCCGGATTCTGGGCTACCCTACAGAGCGGCCAACTGGTCGGTTCTACAGTGCTCAACCTAGTCGCGCACAACCGCAGTTGACAGCAGGGATCTTGCTGGTTGTCTGAGACTGTCTGTCTATATCGATCCGTCAACATTCGTGCACCTTTGTGTACTGTAATGGTCTCTTCGTCCTCCCTGTCCTTTTTGCATGGACATTCAGACCTTGCCCTTGAAGGGGCAAGCACTAAGGAACCAAACTAGGTGTCTTTAGAAGCCTGGGAGCAAGACACAAACACCGAAAAGGCCGCTTCGCTCTTGTGGCACGTGCCAAGATTTGCGCTAGCATTTGCAGCATCTTAACCTTGATACTGCTTCTGCCAATCAACCCCTGGATTTGGCAAAAGACATTTGGGTTGGTGCGTGTGTGTGTGCATGTTCCTCCCACATCAACAGGGTTGCAGCAGGAGGTGTTGATTCGCACTCTGTCTTTGCAGATCTCCGCGCGTTCAATTTTATCTATTGTTGCAGACAACCTCGCGTTCAATAGAACCGATATACAGTAATCACATTATCTGTGTACATTCCGGAGGCTCGCGGCAGGAAAATGGCAAACACAAAAGGGTGAGTCATTCTTATCTGTCAGGAGTTGGTGCTCGAGCTGCCCCCAGCAAAGGCAATGCCGGCAACGCTTCCCCATGGTAGTCCATGGTGGGCCTTGCTGACTCATTTTACTTCACCGCTTCAACACTCAAACATCTTAATCAGGAAAACACAAAGCAAGGCCGGACAACTGACCTGATGGTGCAAACAAGCATCAGCTTGGTTGGAGAGCACGTGAGGCAACACCGGTGCAAAGTGTCACGGTTTTCAAGATCTGCACGGTCCCTCAGTGGTTGAGTGGTTCCTTCCACATCTGTCCGTCGGAGTGCTGGACTACTTGCCCTTGACGAGTTGCAGGAACCAGATTGGCTGCCACTGCATGCGAGGACTTCTATGCAGCTCGCTTGTTGTAAACGCTCGTTCAAGCATTGAGGTGTCACCTGGCTCCACCGCCGCATGCCCGCTCTTGCAGGCCCGCACAGGCCATCTTGTGAAGCTGAAGTATCCTGTGAAAATGAGCGACGATGCGGCCGCCTCGAAGAGGCTCTGCCAAATAACGAGGCGAAGTTAGGATAAGACAGGAATCCACTCCCACCGCGATCGGCCCGACAGAAGAGATGCGCTCGCTGCTCCAACGAAACCAAGCCTAAGCGGTACTTTGTGAGACCAAGGCTTGTGACAAATTCCTCTCTGCTCACCAGGCCATCCCTGTCTCGATCAAACGCGCGGAAAGCAGCTCCAACCGTTCCGAAGTGTCGGAACACTGCTGACATAATCTCTTCGCTACTTTGCGCATCCATGGTGCACACAGGATCCGAAGGAGCAGACCACGGCGACCAGCCTGAGACGTTCAAAGCCCGAACCCGGAAGACGTACTGGCTCGAAGGGGCCAAACCTGTCATCTTTGCCACTGTCCGGGAAGTGCGAGTCCGCCTCCCTTCTGCCGGAGCTATACCATGACAGAATGTCTCCTCCTTTCCACACCACACTTCGTATTCCAACAGGGGTGTGTCCTTAGGAAACCAAGATACCAATCGAGCCTCTCCAAATCTTGTTCATAGAAATGGCATGCAAACAGCTTCAAATGTCAACTGCTGATGAGATTCGCTATCTGGCGGGTCCCATTCTGCCAGCAAAGACCGTGCCGTTCTTTGCAAAAGCGGTCCTAACATGACAACTCTTCACCCAAAAAGGGCAGCAAAGCCGGAAATAGTAACATCTGTAACATCCAGGGACTTGAGAACCATCATCTTGAGATGCACAATGATGCCCAACGAGTAGTTGATTCTGTGGGTCTGGGCCGGGGCACGGGGCGCTGGAGGTCGCCCAGGCACTGCTCCTGGAGAACGTGGTGCGCTCCAGCGAGACCACGCGCCCCAGCCCCGCTGGTTCCGCGCACGGAGCTGAGCGCAGTAGCTACAGCCTGGCTCCAAGCCTAAGCAAAAAGCAAAAGCAAACCTGGACAAAAGGATTCTAGTAGCCATGGCCTCCAACCAACCTAATAGCGATGGCCTCCAACCTAATAGCGATGGCCTCCACCACAGTAGCAATGGCCTCCCGCCCATAACAGGAGGAGGCCATGGGCTGAAAGGGGGAAGGTACAAAGGCGCCGTAGGGTACAGCAGGCTAGTAGTGCAGCAGTCAGTGACTTGAGTGCATTGAGACAGGTACACACAAGGAATCAAAAGGAGCAATCGTCGTGTCAACCTGCTCCTACAACGCCCTTTCCTGTATTTCCGTGCCTGCCAGTTTGACCTCCTGGCCCTCGACACAAAGCTGCGCCAAGATTGTCAAGTCCCCACTCAAGGCTACTCGAACCTGCCACATCTTGCAACCGCAAACCGACCTATTTTCACTGTACAACTGACTCGAACTGAAGTTTGCAAAGCGTCTGTCTAACACAGCTACACTTTGAGAAGCAACACTGCAATCTGATGAGAAGGCAAGCCTCGTACTGCAGCACTGGACTGCCGCCATCCTGCCGCAAGCATCTGTAGAGATGGTGTGGCTACAGTTCCACAATTCAATTATCATCTCAGACGACCTACAAAAATCCACCGCAAATTCCTATATCATCAACTTGCCCCACCAAATCAACGTTTTCCTTCACTTCACCTGCATCAACCAGTCTGCATGGCTCCTTTTGGCACCGGCTCGCCTTTTTGCTCAGCACAGCGAAGTGTGGAACCCACTGAAGCGCTTGTGCTTAGAAAAAGGGGGAAGCCCAAAAGCCTCATCAAATCGCTCAGAACTTAGAGATATCCTTCCACTCCTTGAGCAAAGTCTCGGCTTGGTCATAGTCCTTGGCTGCTGCCTGCCACTGCTTGTTCCCACCATCCACGCCCATTGTGCCAACTTTCTGGATAAATGCGCGGGCCTTGTCCCAGGCCTGAGAACCCTCCGCACCAGAGAAGTACAGCATATCTTGTCTCAAGGAATTGGCTTCCAAGAGGTTTGCCTTCAGACCCTGGGCTTGCTTGGTCTTGATGAGCTCAGGAGTATCCTCAAAGCGTTTCAGGGCTGCATTCAGGGCCTTGGTTCTTCTCTCAACCTCATCCTTGTTTTTGAATTGGTAGACGGTGTCCGTACCATCGCTGAACTGGGAGTACGGATTGATGGGGTTGTCATTCTGACTGTAGGCGTCCTTAAGCACTTGGCAATGCAAGGTGGCAGGTCACACATGGCTTTGATGAGCCCAAGACACTAAAAGCGTCAAAACATCAGCCTCGAATAAGGACTGTCCAAGCATCCGACTGGCCGCTGCCAAAGCCAAAGACAGAAAAGGTTGGGACCTGAATTGTGAAGAAAGTTGTGTCAGGAAAGTCTCCACCGAGCATCAGCACTACATTTTGGCCCAAATTCAACCCATTATTTTATAACCATGGTAAAGCATTAAAACACAATTTGCCAGAGTGCCTCAGCCATTGCTGGCCCGGATGATGCTGCTACCATGGCAGCTGCCATTGCCGCAGCCACTTCGTTGCGCTGCTTGGGCGCCACGAAGGTCTCATCACCAGGCAGCAGCCTTCAGGTAAAGGGTAAAGTTTGAAACTAACAAGTGCATCGCTACTAGTAAACAAGGGCATTGCTACTAGTAACAAGAGCATCGCTGCTAGTAAGCTGTTCATGTCCATAGATGTCATTGAACCCCGTGCCTGCCTTAAGAACTCAATTATTGATCCCTGCCTGAGCACCACCACTACACATGATGCAAGCAGCGTCTTGGACAGCAGCGAGGTTCGAGCCATGGCAAAGTCTAAGCCTGAATAAAAGCGAATGAAGAAGCCCCGGCCTTCTTGAGCCAACCACAAGGCACAAAGTACAGCAATGACTAGTCACTAGTCTCTACCAGATTCAGTACCTAGCAGCACCTAGCAGCTAGCACATACGAGCGATGGAAGACCCCACAAAACAAGACTCAAACCTCAAGCCAGCATTCGCTCGCTGCTCCTCTGGCTGCTCCCAGCGCAATTTCAACTGCCCAGGTCGCCGGGACACCCGTGGTGGCTCTGGCACACCTGGGAAAGTGAATTGACGTGAGAGGAAACCAAACACCGGGCAGTAGGAAACCAGGGGAAACATGCCACAAACCGCATCCCGGCCTGGCACTGTTGGCCCTGTCCGTACTGTGACTTCTGCGGCTGGGGATGTGCCAGCCTTATTGCAGGCATGCACCCGCACAGTGTACCTCAGAACGTAACTTGGTGGAACATCTGTGGCAATCTGCAAGGCAAGAAAATGAAAATTGGAACGAAGAAGCATAAAAACATCTGTGGCCAATCACAGGAGACATCAGTGAGCAGCCTAAGTGTCCAACGCCGTAGCACCTCTTAGAGCAGGGAGCTGGAGACCTGCGTGGTGACGTGTGGGACAACCGACAGAGAACGTTAGATCCGGTGATCCCGGACTGCAACTTCCCCGGATCCGGTTCTCTCTCTCTCTCTCTCCTCTCTCTCTCTCCTCTCTCTCTCTCTCTCTCTCTCGCTCTCGCTCTCGCTCTCGCTCTCGCTCTCGCTCTCTATCTCTCTCCCGGCACGCTCATTTTTCTGCTTTCTGCGATCCGCATGTGGCGAGGTTCTCTACAGATTTGTTGCACGCTTACCCTTCACATAGAGCTCGCCCATGCCAGCTTTCTTGAACCAATAGTCTGACTTCTCCTCATCTTGTGGAACGCCATCCCCTGCCGCATACATCTTGCCCAAATTCTTCATGGCTTGGGCGTGCCCCTCGCGGGCGGCTTTTTCAAACCAAGCAGCAGCTGTGGCTTTGTCCTCCGGCACCTCAAAAAGAAGCACCAAATGATGCATACGGCTTGATGCACTGGAAGCAAACACGCAGTGCGCAAGTCTGGAAAAACTTGAGAGGGGGTGCGGTGCAGGGTGTGGGCGCCCTGGGCGGAGATCAGATGGTGGGGTGTTCGTGGGAGGACGACATAGACTGAACACTTTCTTTTGAAAGTGATTGCTGCGCTGCATACTCTGTCCTTTGACAAAAGCACCATGCAGCATCGATGGCAAGTGTCCAGGATCGATATTGCTATAGCTCTTTTTATGTTTTTGCCCGGGGGTGTGCCTAAGAAGGTAAGATAAGTAGCTACTAAGCTCAAGTAGCGTCTAAGGCTTGGACGCAGAAGGGCTCAGGCTTAATGAGTTGATTCCTGGATTTTTGGGAAACCGAACTTTCCTGAGCCCATCGACAAAAAACAACCCACTGCAGCAGTCTAAACGGAATCCAGAAACCTAGACCTTTAAGCCGTAAGCTTCTCAAAATTCACAGAAGGATCCCAAGCACTCCTGGGCCCGTGGACCAAAGATCACCAAAGGACCGGACCAAAGGGAAATCGAAATCGCCCCCCTCAAGACAACAGATGATTTTCTTAAAATCCATGGGAAATGGTTGAAGAAAACAACGATCTATGGAGCACTTGGAGTACCAATGCATTGGTTTACTAATGTAATATTGACTTCACGAGCTCAGGCTACCTCTTGCGTGATTAACTTGCAAGAGCTTCGGCACACCCTGCCCCAGGTAGTAGAGCGCCCCAAGGTTGTTCTGTGCCATCACATGCCCTGCTTCAGCTGCCATCTTGTACCACTTGAAGGACTCGTCGAAGTCGACCTCCACTCACTGCCACTCACTGTCGCTGGCAATTACTGTATTATGTGTAATCCGCCTCTGATTGTCACACTTCCCTTGGTATTTTACGTATATATATATATATATACACTATATATATATACACAGAATTACTTTGCCCACCTATAAAGGGCACACAGGTCCAAAACTGCATTTTGGAGAGAAGCACACCCTCACGCCCATGCGTACGTTTCTGCCTCAATGCCTTCTCCACGCTCAAACATCACACCCAAGGCATACCTTGGAAGCGGTTGGAGAGCTGGGAAGCGGCTCATGCTAAAGAGTGTGGTGTTTCTTCCTTTGTCTTTATTCTTTGTTTCTAGTAGCGACGGCATCTAACCTAATTGCGCCCTATGCAAGAATGTTCAGACATCAGAATTCCTGTGGGCTATGTATAGTACTTTACACGAGGCAAAGTTGCTGGGCACTCTCCAGGCCCTGCTCTGCTGCTTTACGGTACCACTTTGACGCTTCTGGTCGGTCAGCTGGCAGGCCATTACCTTAAAGAAAGACTCCAACATGACAAGAAAAGCCAGCCAGTACATTATTGACTTGGGGCCTCTGCTGCTTGCTGACGCGGTGCCAAAGTGGTACATCATCGCGACATTGTACTGAGCTTCCTTTCGTCCCTGCTCCGCAGCCTTCAAAAACCATCTGCCCGCGCGACGTTTGTTGATCTTTGTGCCATGGCCTTCGTGGTACATCTCCTTCACTGACCAGGACCACGGGAACACTGACATTGAGTGAAAGCAAAAGCATAATTAGCTGAACAAAAGGTGTATTTTCAGTTTGCAGTGGATAGAGGAGCCAGAAAGAAGACAGGTTCTTCTATTCTTGTTGAGTCGCTCCGAGGTGATATTGTGCATCCATATCACCCGTCTTCGCCGCCTGCAAATACCACTCTAAAGCCTCCTCTTTGTTCTCTTCGATTCCATCGCCAAAGCGAAGCATGTAACCTATATTATTCATTGCTCGAGCCACCCCTGCACGCGCAGCTGCCAAGTAGTACTTGTATGCCTTCTTCTTGTCCATCGGCACGCCATCTCCGGTTTGGAGCATCACTCCTAGGTTAAACTGCGCCTCGGGTACTGGTGGCGCAGCTGCTCGTTTCAACCACTTGTATGCTTCTTCTTTGTTCTGTGGCAAGCCTAAGCCAGTATAGAACATCTCTCCTACTGCACTTTGCGCAGGTCGATGTCCCTGTTCTGCTGAGCGTAGAAGCCACTGCGAGCCTTTAGCCTTGTTTGCCTCTTGGCCATCCCACCCCTGCAGCAGAGCTTTTCCAAACCGGAACATCGCACCCACATCCCCTCCTTCTGCTGCCTCCTCGAGTTCACTCATGTCGTCTGACAAAACCTCTGGATCCACAGCATCAGTGTCCTCAGGCAGCACAACCCTGCGATCTTCAATCACCTCTGCTTCTACTTCAGCTTCCAAGACCTCCACGTTTCTCACCTTAGGCGGATCCACTTGGAAGCCCCGCTTCGCCTTCTTGGTTGCCAATCGGCAAAGATGCCATCTCCTTCGCCATCTTGACTGCAAAACTGACACCAATGCCACACTGCCATAGCAAAGCTGGCTCTTCTCGAACTTAATGGCACTGGAGACCGTGTCAGGACCCTTGGCTATCAAGTGATTAAAGCTTAGAATGAACATGCCAAGCAGGGTCCAAAGTTTCCTATCTTCCCTTTTGAGGCAAGAAACTATTCTGTGAAAGCCGGCTTGAAGCGCCAGTCGTTGAAAGGGCCCAGCACAGGGATGTAGAACCGCCATCTGGGCCATCTCTCCAGATCTTTCCTTGTCACTGTCAATGCACTGTGCTGAAACCTGTGAGCTTGGGCCCTACGTGGCCTCAACTCCTTGACTTGACTGTGTACAATGTCTGAGTCTTTGTATAAAGTATTGCTGCAAGCTGCTGCTGATTCTGAAACTGCCTCTACTTGTGGCTTCAAGTGATAGTGGTCTTGTGAATGCTGTGTAGATCTTTGTGGTTGCTTCTCCCTAGTGTGGCGGAAGGAACGGGAGAAGATTCATCAAAGGCAGGGTTGGCTGATGACCTACTGCAACAGTGGACATGCTGCAGCGTCACCAACTCTTCAATACGTTTGAGCCTCCAGGACCACCAGCTGCGCTTTTCTCGGTACCACCTGCCATGCGCGCTTCGATTTTGACATGACAAACAGGAGTCACAACTGCCACCTGCCGCTTTAGGATCAGGATGGGCAAGACAGCCAAGTTCCAACTCAGGCTCATCCGGTCCAGCCACCTGACGAAGACACAGTCCACTTGCAAGGTCACTGAAGCTACTCTATGAGAGAATCATATGACGTCCTTGCTACTAGTAGCGATGCCCGAATTCCTAGTAGCAATGCCAGGAGCTCGAAGTAGCTTCTTGCTCCTAGTGTCCTTGCTCCTAGTAGCGATGTCCTTTGTTACTAGTAGCGTCCTTGCTCCTGGTAGCGATGCCCTTTGTTACTAGTAGCGTCCTTGCTCCTAGTAGCGATGCCCTTTGTTACTAGTAGCGTCCTTGCTCCTAGTAGCGATGCCCTTTGTTACTAGTAGCGTTCTTGCTCCTAGTAGCGATGCCAGGAGCTCCTAGTAGCTTCTTGCTCCTCGTAGAAATCGAGTTTGCAAAAGTTTCTCGAAGATGTGATTGTCCTTGACAACGTAGTTGAGCACAGGCGATCCACCATCATTGCCGGGTGGCAACCACCTGGCTCCCAGCCATCGTGCATTGCAAATCAGTTGAGCAAAGAACTGCAAGCTAAGAAGATGGAAAGAAACAGGACCTCTCCACAAACCTTTTGAAAACTGTAGGAGAAAGCTTAAAAAGATGTCTCCCTAGCGACTGGTGTACCAACTTCCAGGCAGCGACTGGACTGGACCTGTTTGGCAACGCGAATCTGTTTCACAAGGTCCAGGCCTGACTATGACAGCGTCCGCTTCCGCGCAAAAAAGCTCCAGCGCTCGAGGTGCGTTGGGCGGCACGACTGCCGTCCGCCCCTGGCTTTGGCGTTTTGAACATGACAACGCATCTAGTCTGAAGCAAACTTAACCTAATAGCGATGGCCTCCAACCTTATAATATAAATAGCTTTCTTGCCGTCCTGTCTGAGCGTCCTTCCGTCTCGTCCCAAAGTTCATTCGTTCCGCCTCCACATCAACAAAACATCCCAAACCTGCTGCATTCCGGGCTGCAACAGAGATGCCTAGAAGCATTTGGACAATTTGTGACAACTGCAGTATTGTGGTTTGATATGTGTGATGTGGTTTGATATGTTTGATATGTTTTGTCTTGTTGCACTGGTCTTCCCTCCTTCCTTCTGCCAAGCTGCGGTAGCTACAATTGCCGAAAAGCCCAGATATCCAAGCTGGTGAGTTCCCAACGGACATCTCCAGAACCTCAAGCATCATTTGGAATCCTTTTGCCTGAACCAGTTGGAAGCCCCCACACTGCACACTTTTGCTGCAAGGTCACTTGCGGGTTGTCGAGCTCCATTGACTTCACCCGCAGCATGTACTCAAGCACACTAGCACCACCTGCCGAGACTTGGAGACAAATCAAACACAAAGCCGACAAACAATGCCTCGTTCAGAAGCCTTGTCTTGTTCTTACACTTTCTCATGGTGAAGAAGCTCGTTTGGCTTTCAGAGTGGCCTTCATCTTTGGGCGGCTTCCAGGTGACACAGAGTGAGGCACGCTCTGCTACCTTGGCTTGGCCGGGACTTCCCAAGAAATATACTGTTGTGTGAGTGTGTTGTTGCATTGGCACTGCTTGTTGCTTTCACGGGTCTGTTTTCTCAGTGCCCCGTAAGCTACACATGCGACATCTTCGGCTTGGCCAGGCAAATCTGGCTCAGTGAAGACCTGTCAACATGTCGGAAGTACAGCTGCTGCTATGCTACGCCATCACATTGTTGATTTTATATCATGATATCATGAGTTTACTATTGACTATCTCGCCCTGCGCAGGGGTTTTCTTGAGAAACGGCAGGCCTCTGGAGTAAGGTTGCTCCAGGGGCCCTGCCCCTGAGAGTTGCAAGCTGCAATACCTGAAAAATGAACTGAATGAAGAGGGTTCAGCCCAAGCTCATCAAACTGAATGAAAAACGTCCTTGTGTGATCACAACTCTCCTTCACCACTAGCCCTTATCATTTCTATGTCAATGAGTCAATGAGTGTTACAAATGCTAGAGCGCCAGCAATTGCTATCAATTGCTGCCAAGTTGCAGAACTGATATGGCGTAAAGCTAGACAAATCAGTGAAAAGCATGTCCTCAAAGGGACTGTCAGGAGCAATCTTGGAAAGTAGAAGAAAAATTGATCGAAAGGACAAGAACAGGAAAATGGGCAAACTGAGATTGACTTGACATCTCTTTTCTGAAAATGGTTCTTCCGGAGCTTAACTTACACACCCTGCAAAGACTCCATTTGATCGCCCTCGCACATCCTAAGCTGAGGAACTGAAGAATTCATGGCGACACTGTGTCACAATCAAAATGGGTCCCAGCACATTCCCGTCAGATCTGTCAATGAGGCATTTCAGTCAAATGGCTGAATGACCCCGTCCGCATTCTCAGGGCCTGTCCTTGAAAACGGCAACACAATGGTTCACAGTAGTTCATCTAGAGACTCTAAGAACAGCAACTCCTTGACTTTGACCAAGCCACGCTGAGACTGCCTTCAGGGCCTTCATCAAATATTTCGACACGCGGAAGCCGCCCACCGGCACCCAGCGCAAGAAGGCCTGGGACGTCCCAACCTCACAGGTCGGGCATGCCCAACAGAACTTCAAAGAAAATGGAAGAAATGAACAAGGAAACAAAATAGAGAGAGAGGGAGAGATGGAAGGAATCGGAAGGAAATGATGGAAGAAAATGGAACGGAAGGAAGGCTGAGCCATGCATGGACAAGCTCCAACGACATAGGGCGCACCTGCACAACATACGGCGCTCGGAGAGCAGGCGGCGCACATGGATCTGCAGTCTTGAAGCTCCATGTAGCGCTCCATGGTCCAGCCCCAAGGCCTTGGTCTCAGTGAACCACTTGTGACAGGAGATGAGAGGTGCACACTAGTACAAGTCAGCAGCATGTACTGTAGAACTTCCAAGTCAAGAGTGGTCCACCCACAACCTCTCACCTCTCATGATTGTACGTGCTGCTTTTCGTTGTTCAAGCCGAGTTTCTATTAATGGCTCGCACACAGCAAACATAGGTTTTCTCCTGAGAAGGGAGCGATCATTGACGCTCGCACCAAAGCCTCTCTCACGCTGACATCCAAGCATCTGGTTCGAGCTCCGTGATTGTGACTGGCGGTTCCTCGCCAGTCGGGAACGCAAAAGCAAATATATGATAAGACACATTAAAAGCGCGGAACCCATTTTAGATCCCAAATGTAGCGAAGGCGCATCAGCATGGTTGATCCTGGGCTCTCCAAGTCAAAGAACAATAACTCCAAATAGATTGGAAGCTGGATCTCATCACCCCTCTGGAGCGGTTTTAGATTGATTCTTCGCGGAGCTCATTTCTTGGAGGTCAAGCTGCGAGATGGCATCCTCCAACTCAAGGCTCAGCTCATAGTGAAGTACTTCAAGACCTCCGTCTTGAAGGGACTCCTGTGGCGCCACGCATCAGATGGAGAGTACCGTTGGATTAACACTAGTGGGTGGATGGTTCATTGATCCGGAGCTTAACCTATGGCCATGTTGCAGGCGGGGCTCCGTCCATGACAACGTGAGCGAGTCTGGAGTTTGGTCGCACAGGATGATCTCGGACGGTGGGGCAGGTGGCACACTCATCACCTGCTCCAAGGACATCCACCACATTCCACCATTGCAACTGCCGGTCAGTGGTGCAAAGCAGATGACTACTGTAGGTCCATCGAGTTACTTGGCATTATGGCTACAGTTCAGCTCCGAGCTGCGTCATTGAGTCGATGGAATAGGTACACATGTAGACAAGTTTAAATACTACTTGAGGCCAGGGGGGGGCGAAAGCTAGCGCTCCAGAATGGGAAAGTGGAGGGCAGCGAGGTAGGAAAAAACACGGCGCTCTTTTTGGAGGCAGTCGCACGGAGTAGCAGAAGGCAGGACGCCTTGCACAAGTTGGGCGGGGCAAACGATTCCAGGTGAAGAGTCCTTTATATGTGGCTCTTTGCCCGGATCCTCCTGCGAGAGAAGAGAGAGAAGAGAGACGGAAAGACGAGAGACAGAGAGGAGAGAGAGAGAGAGAGAGGAGAGAGAGATGAGAGAGAGATGAGAAAGAGATGAGGGAGAGATGAGAGAGAGATGAGAGAGAGAGAGATGAGAGAGATGAGAGAGAGAGAGAGAGACAGTGAGAGTGAGAGTGAGAGTGAGAGTGAGACTGAGACTGAGACTGAGACTGAGAGTGAGAGTGAGAGTGAGAGTGAGCGAGTGCGGCCGCAAGATACGCAACGCTAACCGCATGCCAAAGAGCGACGACAGGACGGAGTCGAACTTGCGAAGAGGGAGGAGGGAGGGAAGGTGGGAGGAAGACAGTTTCAGCCACCTCGTGTGCACCTCAACCCGGACCAACGGTCGTCTTAGGTGCGATCTGCTGTCCGTCGTCTTCCACTTCAAGGATCTCAAGTTGGAGGTGATGCGGCTCCGACCGACCAATGGAGCTACACTCCCAGGTGAAGAGTCCTTTATATGTGGCTCTTTGCCCGGATCCTCCTG